AGGAATGCCCAAACAACTGTGCATGGGCTGCATGTGGATTTCTCCCATAGATTTGTGAGACTAAGAGGAATAGAAAGAGCATCAATGTGACCAAGTGCAGCTGCGTGAATGTAGCCTGTTCAGCTGAGTGCCAGAAGTTCTGTAACAGCGGTGATGTTACTGCATTACCAAGAGCCTCTTTTCCTCCTCTGATCTTTGTAGTGTCTGAGACATTTTGCTAAAGGTGCATTCTGTGATCCAGTTGGGGAAGCTATTAGTCAAATAATCAATTAACTGAGCAATGGAAAAATAATCAGGTAATATTTAAAAATTTCCCTCTGTTTTTAGTGCAAAAATGTCTTTCCTTATTTTCAGCATCTCAGCTGCTGTTTTTGTTCATTTTATGTAATAGAAATCTGTACATTTTAAGTTCGGCAAGACATTTTGAAAACATCACCTTTGGTTTTATGAAACTCTGGCAGGTGTTTTTCACCATTTTCTGACAGACCACACAATTAAATGAATTGTTAAGAAAGTAATATACCCTTTTCATGACATACATTTTGACTTTGCACAGCAGGAAAGCACTATATAGATATTGTGACGTTACAGTACATGCATTGTGACACAGGATTTTGTCCACTTTGCCCAGTCCTATGTGAAAAGTTTTAAGGCTCATAAAATGCAAAACAAGCCAATATTTGTGTTGATGATTAGTTGACAAATATTAGATATATTGATCTTTTATCTGTAAGTCAGTTTCTTGAGTTATGTGTTTGAATGTACCTGTAGATATGGTAGATATGTTAATTCCTTACAGGCTGCAGATCTGGCTGATATCGCAAAGAAAAAATACATTGGTTGGTTGTGTTACAAAGTATCATCAAATAGACTATGATATTGTAAAATGTTAGTACAAGATGTAGGCCTACCTCCTACTGGCTAATATGAGTTATTACCTCATTGTGATAAATATTACAACTGATTTCAACTCATCTCTGAATAACTTGTATGAAATCAAATTATGTTAGTCCAGTGACACTGGTGTTTCTGTTTTCCTCTAACAGCACCTGTACTCTCACTCAGTTATGGCTTTGAACCATCTGAGTCTGCTGCGAGCTCCGCTCTGTCAGTCCCTCATGCGACAGGTCAGGTCTCCCCTCGCGGCTGCCACCAGGGTCAGCACACCACTACTGTGCCCCAACACCGCCTGCAGCCCGGCTGCATGCACCAGGTTCTACGCCACCAAGAAGGCAAAAGGTCAGTGAGGAGATTAGAGACTGGAGTTCACATGAATGCAAATTACATGGTTTAGTATTATTTGTCTTAGATATGATCTTCAGTCTCACCTCAGCCTTTTCTTTCTCTTTGTCACTTCTTCCAAGCCAAGGCAAAGGGCCAATCAGCTAAGGTGAACATTAATTCAGCACTGGTGGAAGACATCATCAGTCTGGAGGAAGTGATGGAAGACATGACCGCCGTTCTCAATATGCTCAAAGATGACTTCACACGCAACCTCAGCATCCGAACATCACTAGGTATTTAGCTTTTCTCCATTTCTTTCTGGGACTGAATTTGAAAACTAGATACCAAACTTTGTCATGAATGAATTGTGCATTTACTCGATTTAAAGTGAAGTAACTTGGAAAGTGGAGTTGTATTATTCATGTGCATAATGTTCATGCATGCATGAGGCTTTCCTTTGTAACGCCACACCACATACTCTGGGATGTAAGTCAGTAAGTCTTCCTCGTTGTCTGCGTGTCCCTAAGCCCAAGGGCTGAGAGTGAGGAGAGCACCCCCATTGTGACCCTACCTTGACCCCAGTTTGACCTCTGTTTCCCCAACTACATCCAGGTCATGACCCTTTGCCTCTGGGTTCTAACAAATGGGATCTGGGTTCTGGGGAGCCAGAGGTGGGGCATATAATGGAAGTTCCCTGGGGACGAGGCAGCCGCTGGAGTCAGACTTCAAACTGAAAGTGTCTCGAGTTTCTCCTGCTTTTCCTCCTCCTCAGATGAAATGTCGCTTTCTGTGCCATTTGATCTGCTTTCTATGCAGTCTTTTCTACTTGTACACATAATGCAGACAACAGAAGCACAAACACAACCTTGATTTTTACAGTTAATCCTTCAGTGTCTTCTTCCAGCTGTTTTACTGTTGATGTTAATTTAATCGTCCAGTTTCCAACCTCTTTTTTTAACCATTATCATTCAACAGTTGTTTGCTCTGAGTCATTTTCTGTCTTTGGCCACTGCTTTTATTCCGCCATTACAGTCTTCTCATTTGTTTTTCCAACAATTCTCAGCTTTATGTTTTGGCTTGTGCTCACATTTTCAATGTCTGTCTCATTGTTTTGAATTTAAACTTCTTTTTGACCTACAGGGAAAAATGTGTTCACAAGGCAGGAATTTTGAGCAAAACCTACCATATTCTCTCCATCTCTTCTGTCCCTCTCACAGCTCTCGCCTCCGTCTCTCCATCATGTCATCCACCCAGACTTTTCCCTCCATCTGTGCATCTCTCACTGCTCTTCTCTGGTCTGTCCAGCCCTCTCTTCTGTCCACCTGCACAATAATCCAGAGAGGCAGCAGGACTTAGGGCTGACAGGAGAGATGAGTTGGTGGAATGGAATGACGTCAGTTGTTCAAATGTGTGTGTGTTTCGTGCAAGTGTGTGTGTGTTCCATGAACTTCTCATCTGGCTCTTGTTAAGCTTATGAGTATGTGTGTGTTGATATGACCGTGATACAGTGTATTGCTTTGAATGCGTACTTTATATGTGCACGTTTGTTTGTGTAGGGCAAAAGTCAGGTAGATGCAGAGATAAGATCGATGCTATAATCACCATGTTCTGGTTAATCACAGATGAGTTATCTGGACTGAAAGTGAGCTCTGTTTTCGTGGAAAGACAGAATAGACCGAGGCATTGGACAACAACGGCAGCACAGGAAAAAATTGTTCTAAATACTTATACACCTTGTCTATACCCAAGAAGTCTGCTGTGTTGAAGACAGGTCCATAATAATGTGAGTGTAATAACTCAAAAATGTTATTTTTACAGCAGTTCCCAGGTTTTGCTGGAACAACGGAATCTAAATTTAATTTGTGATCAAGTTAAGCAGTCTGACAACAGCAACAAGACCATCTCTTTGAAGATAAGATGTCTAACTGGACATGCTAGCAACTCTGTAAGGCACAGTGTTGCTTTGAACTAAATTCTGATGTTAACATGCTCACAATGACACTGTTGATATTGCTGATGTTTAGTAGGTATAATGATGCTAAACTAATGACATCCTCAGCTGCACCTTGGGTGCTTAAGTGCTAATTAGCAAATGTTTGCATGCTAAGATACTTAACTAAGAGGAGTTAGCATTTAGCTCAAAGCTTTGCTTTGCCCAAGTCTAGTCTAACAGAGCTGCTAGCATGGATGCAGACTGTCCTGTTAATACTTTATCTTAGCTGAAAGTGTCATAGGACCTCATGAATTCATCACAGCAATTTAAGGCTGTGTTTACATGTAATATAATTTGTACACTTTAACTTTTGGTCCAAATAACTTAGGATTGGTGGTGTTTGAGCTGTGGTTCAGACTAAACACCTGCACAGAGGCCAACTGATATGATTTGTCCACTTTTATACCTATTGTGGGTGAGTTTGTATATGTACTGTTGGGCATTTACCTTTATTCTTAAGAGGACAGAAGCGATGTGACAGGGAATGAGGGGAGAGAGAGCAACTGGGTAAGTGTGGAGGAAATTAATGAGGGATGTCTCAATCACTGTATGGTACTTGTCCTGACTACTGTATCACCAGTATGCCCATATGTAGTTTTGCAAATGATGTGGCCTGATTGTTTTGTCATTATAAAACTGAAAAACACTTTTTTTTTAGATTAAAAACAAAATATGTATACCGGTAGTTTAGTTTACATTACATATAAACGTCATTTTTATTATGTTGCATAATATGTAATATTTTGATAAAGAATTTAGTCAAGTTTCGGATATTTGGCAAATGCTTCCTCAGCTGTACTCCTGTGTATGACTCGGCCTCTTTTCACCCTCCATCTTTGTAATTAAAGAAACGACTGTCTGTCTGCTTTCTTAAAGTACTAGCAGATGTGTAGGTCCTCCTGGTCAAGGCACAGGTAACGAAGATGGACAGGCAGAAGTTCACAGACATTTGGACATTAATGATCTGCATATACCCAGAAAAGCACAATGTGATGGACAACAGGACAGGCAGGTTAAGACCCGTGCACAAATGGATGTTTGAAGTCAAAGAGGGAGACAGAATAATTGGCAGTTGGGTAGACAGTGTGTCAGTGATTCAGCTGGGGTGCGGCTTTGAATAATGGGTATCCATTTCATCACATCATACCAACCTTTTATTTTTAGTTTCTTCTCCTACATCTAATGTCTGACCAGTACATCTCTGTTTTTCCCCTTGAAATCCTGTGATAAATTGATCATATAGAGAAAATTACACCATTGAACCACTGGCCAACCTCCCCTTCACCCCCTCTTTTTACACACACACACACACCACCAGCAGCAGCACAACCCCCACTGGGTAAGCAAGTGATGTAAGGCAGAGGTGGAGGAGAAGGAAACAACTGCATCTGAGGTTAGCCAGATGGAGGAGAGGGACAGGGGGAGATAGGCAAATAGATGGACCAAGTGAGGAACAGGAGAGATGAAGTGAGAAATGCAGAGAGTAGGGCACAGCAGTCAGCTCATGTTGGCAAGCTCGGCTCTGCTTCTGACAGTGATGAGAGACGGTAGATCATGGAAACTCTTAACAGTGGTTTCTAGTTGTTTTTTAGCTTATGCAGATTGTGGTTTCTGTGGCCCATTCATCTGTCTGTTTATTTGTTAAGCTGTCTGACTGACTGAATGACTGACTGTATGTTTTCCTTTATGTGAAGGTTGCATGGAAGCAGTGTCATCAAGCCACAAAAGCAACCCGCATTTACCAGAGCTGGATCAATGCTGGGTTTTTGGGGCCAACTTTTTACAAATGCACAATAAACCTTATAATTAAATAGAACAGGAACTGTAGATTCAAACTATGGATATTGTGGGTTTACTTTAAATAATAATTACAATAAATTGCATAAAACTGTATTAACCTGAACAGAGAAACATAAAGCCAAATACACGATGTAATCTGTCAAACAGCGCACAAACCCTAATATATTTGGATTTGGCTGATTTAAAATTCACCAGCAAATGTACAGATGCACATGACAAGATGCCTTAATCTGTCAGTGTAGATAAATAATGCAATTTATCTGTATTCGTTTAGGAGTTCTAGATCACATTGTGGTGACGACTCGAGATGGAAAATTTCCTCTCAAACAGCTGGGTCAGATCTCCATGAAATCACCACAGCTCATTATGGTCAACATGAGCAGCTTTCCCGAGGTAAGACGATCACACCGATACACACGTACAAACACACATGTACAGACTGTCCCTACTGGCATTTGTTTGTCTCTTACCGACATGCACACTGTAACTAAAAGCTTTATAAAAATAATCCAAAGCGCAGACAGATAGATGGTCCTCACACAAGGAACAGTGAGCCAGACCAGAACTGGAATCCCACATCACTCTGTGTGTAAATGAAACCTGACCTGCCTGTTTCTCTCCACAACTGTGTCTCAAATGCTAATTGATAGATCACTCAGGGAGCCCTTTGTTCTGGGTTGAAAGATAGCAGCAAGAATCTTAAGTGTGTGTGTGTGTGTGCGCGCACTGAAATGTGGTTGTGTCTGCATGTGAGTTGTCACAGAAAAGGAAATGACCTCATTTCACCCCCTGGTTAGGAAGGAATGAATTATTTTTCTTTTTCACCCCTTTTCTCTCCCCCTTTTCCTTTGTAGATGATACAACACTGTACTAATCAGAATTCCAGAATGAGATTTTGCCCATGAGGCAGAGTTTTAGTGGCCAGACGTCTGTGGTGACCTGGAAAATCTAAATGTGGTTTTTACGCATTTAATGCACCATTATGCAATCATATCCGAGGGCCACTTCTCTCTTGTCAGTTGAGTTCTTTTGATCCTTCTTGGCCACCGAGCATCGGGACAAGTACATGCTGCTTTGTTTTGACCTGTTCCTCATCTGTTACAAGCTGAAAACGTTTGTCATTTATACATTTAAAGTTAGCATCATGCAAAAAATGATGCAGTCAATCTAATAGTTAAGACATTTCACAGAAAACCAAATCTTGTTTCCACTTGTCCAGAAGGTTTCCAGTATTTCACCAGTTAACTGAAAACTAACTTGCTGGTGGTGCTAGAGGACCAGTCAGGAGGTGATCAGAGTCAGTAGGCTCCATCCTACCTAGGAGACATAGAAACCAGTGGTTCTTCAACTTTACAAGCTTAAATTATGTTTAAATAAATTAGCTCTATTGAAGTTCACATATTCATCATATAATCTCACTCACTCTCCACCACACCCCCTATTCTCCCATCATCCTCCCAGGACAATCAAACCTAAAATATCAAGCACAAATAAAAACATAATTAATGGTTAATATACTGACATACCAATGTCACAGAACAACAGGTGAATTTAAGTTTTTATCAACGACACAAATCTGAAAATCCATTCTTCAACCTGAATCATGCTGAATGATCACCCGGTGTGTGTTCCTTTCCCAGAAACTCTGACTACAGACCACACACACAGCAACAGACACACAAATGCACACACGCTGCCCTGTCATGCCCTTTGTTGCCTATGTCACACACACAGCTGTATCCTCAGTGCACAGTGCTAATAGGCTTATAATAATGCCTGTCCATTACCAGGCCGCACAGAGGCTCTACCATTGTTTTCCACACATTCACTGGGAGCAGCCTGGCAAGGCACAGTGAAACTAACCACAGCTACGATCAGGAGGCACTTTACACGCGTATCTTTAAGCATCCCATCACTTTGTTCGTAAAACATTTTCTGCAGGAGTCTCTTTTTAGACATGCACACACACAGGTTCTCACACACATTCCTCTCCACTCGCCTCTTTGCTTTGAACCTGGTCATCAGCGTTTGATGTGAAACTTCAGTGTAATTTCTCTTCCTCTCTAACATATTAACCAGAACCTGCCCAGCCAGGTTTCCATAACCACCGCGGGTCGTCAGAGAGGGGAAACGGTGATGAATTTGATGCTGAGAACAATCAAACATGGGCATGGGCCGAATCTATCACTCCACACTCAGAGAGCAACCAGAGGCCTGTGCTCCGGATGAATTTAACAAAGGAAAAGAAACCTCATGAATTAATTTAATGCACACAAATAAATTCCTTTAATCTCACTGCCATTCCTTTCCCTCAGCGGAAGAAGCCAGACAGAGCTGGGGAGCAGGGGGAGCAGGGTAGAGAGGGGTTCAATTGCACATTTGCACACATTGTAAAGCTCAGCTAAGGGAATGCGGTTGCAGATTGTGACTTTGTTTTCAGTAACTCAGTTTATTTGTGTGTATGCACTGCTTAACTGTAGCACTCTGGTTTTAATGTAGGGTTTGCCGGACTGAGGGATTTTATTGTATATGGTGGATAATGTCTTTATGTTTCACACATGTGAATGTTGTTGTAATATTTACCACTGACTTTCATGCAAGCTTCTTTTTCTGCCTGCCTGCTGGCCTGCCAACCAAATACAAATAAACTTTTAAAGAAAATTACAAAGAAGCCACTCCATAAATGAACTGTTATCCTAGTACATGTAGCATCTACAGCCCAGCTGCCTCTCCAGCCAATGTCCACATTGACACTGGATCACTTGTTCCCTCACAAACCCATAATGTCCTTCTTTTCATTTCCCTCTGATTATCTCCATTCTTGTATAAAGATGACAGATGGCGTTTGGGGACATTTTTATTCATTTTTTAAAAGTTGTTCAATAAGATAATGTGGACAACAGCTGAGAAGAAGGAAATGTTCATCTGTAGCAGTAGTTTTGAGTGAACACATTTCCAGTAAGCTAGTTAATAGTCGGTGACTGTCCTCGCTGTCTATTTCTGTTGATGCTCAGTACAGATCAATACAAATGCAGCTCAAAATTTTCAGCAAACTGGCTTTTTATCTGTTTGTCTAGTTTGCATTTACACCAAGATTGTTGTGCTTTTGCACCACATACATTCATGATAATTATAGATTTTAAGAGAATTTACTGTCTTGACAAAACTAACTTGCAAGCAAATGTATGTATAGTTATACAAAGAAAACTGAGGTATTTTATTAGCTTTTTCTTTCTTTTGTCTTCATTGCTTTTCATTTGTTCAGAAAACCTGGCCCTCAACCATGTTAAATTGCCCCACCATGGCATCAGAAGAAATTATACCTCCCTTTGACCTTCACATGCAACATGACCACAATACAAGAAGATATTTACATATACTTTTTGTTAAAGCAAATAAAGTCACACTGTGGTACAGTGTCCCTGATCATTGGATAATTACCATTTCACGTTTTCCATGTCTAGACGACCCAAATTATCGGCTTATTAATATTGTTAATCGGGCGTTTAAATGTGGCCACTGTCTTACAAACAAACAAATAACCAAAAAGCTGCATTCATATTCAGAGTTACATGTCAAAGTTAAATCCACACACATTCTAAAGCAAATGTGTGAGTGTTTCTGTGTGTGTATCATACACAGGCACAAGCAGACTCTCCTGTGAGGTCACCAGAGGTCAGTGCCCTGCCCTGCAAACTCTCTGTCCTGTCCCACAGGGCTGAGCGCTGACAGTGGCCCAAGGCACTTCCATATTGCATGGGCGTCCCCTGACACACACACACAACACAACACCTTAATGATTGCCAGCTGGAGCTGGGCCACTACCTGCACTTGTAGCTTTTCTATTCACACCAGTGCTCAAATCCAGCACACATTCATATATCTATATATATATGTATGTATGTGTGTGTGTGTGTGTGTGTTTGCACGCACATGTGCCCTCCCCCCAGGCTACAGCGGCGGCTGCCCATGCCCTGAGAGAGAGCAGCATGAACCTAAACCCAGAAGTGGATGGGACGATCATCAAGGTTCCTGTTCCCAAGTGAGTCTTTCTCTGACACACACACACACACAGCCCCAAGGGCATTAACGCAAACTTCCTGTTAGTGCTTTCCCTTTTTTCCCATCTTTTTCTTTCACTTTTATTTTTCTTCTGTCAGCCTTCTGTTTTTCACTTCCTCTATTTAATATAACCATACATTTAAACTTCTACTGAAATAATTGGGTGACCAATTACTTGACAAAATGTGAATTGTGTTTTTTTTTTACATATATAATTATTTGTTTTTAAATACAGACAATTTTTATAACATCTCTTTGGACTTTGGTAACTTGTGACAGACAACTGAAATCACCAGTAGGTGGTCATAGCTAAACCTTTCACGACATCTGATCCATGTTTTTGAACTTCACCCCATTAATAAGTCGCCTAGTCTCCTGCTCTCAGCTAACTGACAGATTTATTGACTTTTGCTTGAAGATGTATAGAGACCCCCACTGTGTTGATATGATGTGTTCTCTCTCTATTTTGAGCTCTCTCTCTCTCTCTCTTTTCCTCTCAAACAAGTTTACACAAAACTATCTGTCACTCATTCGCCACTTTGCATGTATATACAGTATATTTGTGACATATGCACGTGTACACGTAAGCGTGCATACTGGCGGCCTGTGTTTATGTGTATGCATGGAGCAGCAGGTGTCAGTCA